CCTCCTGGGGCTCTCCAGAGCCGTCTTGGGGCCATCCGAGGCCGTCTTGGGCCTTCCTGGGACGCTCCAGAATCAGCCTCCCCCTGCCCAGCCAAGCCCGAAGTTGTCCTGGATCAGTTTACTATGGACGATGGAACGGATTGTATGAGTACTGCTGTGCCAATATTAATTCTGTCGTTATTCCTATCACTAGTACTTGTATTATTAATTGCATTCGTGTTCGCATTATCAGCAATGGTATTAGCATCGATATTCGTACTACTGGTATTATCAATATGATGGGTAAGAATCAGGTCATCCAATGTATTATCATTATTACGGTTACTACTAAACGTAGCTGTATTACTTTCAATACGATTAAAAGAAATAGCACTGTTACTAGTACCAGTAGTATTACTATTGCTGTCCGTAGTTACCTTACTATTACTATTATGTATATGTATATATGTATAGCAATATGTGTGCGTGAGCATACTCGGACGCGCATCTATGCCTGCGGAAGGAACCACGCCTCGGGCCAAGTGGCCATCCAAGACGGCCCGCGACGAAAAGCCGTTCGCCCTTGGCCCACGTCGTGGAAAAGGTCACGGCGCCTGGGGTCTGGACCTGTCGAGCGCGCAAGGGGGGGGAGGGGGGGGCGGGGTTGGGGGGAGCGCGAGGGGAGCCTTCGGGGGAGCCCGTGGGGTGGGCGTTATTGGGGGGGGGGGCCCAAATTTGGGGGTGCAGAACAGGGCCCATGTAGGATTTTTTTCTTCACCCCCCATTGTGGACACCCCCCACTGTTAAGGCCCAGTAAGACGACCGGCGTGCTGACCCCCCCCCTTCGCGACAAGAGGTGCGTCGCGCATTCGTCGCCCGTGCGCCGCCCGTGCGTCGGCCGCCGAAAAGGCCAGCCGTCCTCTCGAACGTGCACGTCGCCCTCGCAAGGGGGCAATTTGGCGGGTGGTCACGGGGGGCCCCCATGACCACCCGCCCAAGCCTTGGGGGGGGAGGGGGGGACGGGGGGAGCACACCCGGCTCCTGGGAAGCCTCATGAGCAGCCTCTGGAGCCTTTCTCGCCACACCTCTGCCTGCCAAGGAGGCCCCCGCCTTCCCCCTCCTCGCACTACTCCCTTGTGCGCGCAGCCAGCTGGAGCTTCCACGGGGCGCCACCTATACACCCGATCGGTTTGTCAGCGCGAAAGCCTCTCCGGCGAAGCTACGTGGGCGTATCCAGCAATAAGGCGTATGCGGGTGTGGCCAGGCGGGAGTCTCTCGTCCGTCTCTCGATGCTCCCTTCCTTTACGTTGCATCCTCGAGGGACCTTGTCTGTCCCGTCACGGCCCTATCCGCGTCGAGTCCGTGTCGAATACATGACGGACTCGTCGGGTCCGTGTCGAATCTGCGTCGGGTCCGCATCGAGCCCGCGTCGGGCACAAGAGAACACACCAATTCTAGGGACAGGCGAGGTCCCCCGACGATGCAACGTAACTCCCTGAATGGTGGCCCCAATTGGCGTCGCCAAAGCTCCGCATGAAAAGCACGTCTGGATCGAACCACACGACCCGGTCGTGGTCCGTGAGTCGGAATGCCTGCGGCTCGTCGTCGTCGTCGTCGTCGTCGTCGTCGTCGTCGTCGTCGTCGTCGTTATCCTCGTCCTCGTCAACGTCGCCTTCGTCAACGTTGTCCTCGTCTTGCCCATTTGTGGCGAGGACGCCTCGAACTTTGCGGAGAAGTGCGGCTTCCAATTCAAGTGCTCGAACGGGTGCCGTGGGAGGAAGAAGGAAAAGGAGGCGGAGAAGGACAGGGGAATGAGGGGCTGGAGGGATGAGAGCAGAGGAGGATGGAGAGGAGAGAGAGGAGAAGGAAAAGGGGAGGGAGTAGAAGGATAAGCAGGAAGGGATGACTTGGACTTGCTTTTTGGGGGCGGTCATAGCAGTCTGGGGGCTTGGGGAAGGAGACGGAGAAGAATCAGTAAGAATTGGTAGTGGCAGAGGGGGTAGAAGTCAAACTAGCCAGCTCGAAGAAGTCGGCGCCCCCCCCCCGCACCCTCCCGCCCTCCCATGACATCATAATCAATGCCAGCACAACTGGCTACAGTGGAGGCCCATGCCAAGAAACACCCTGCTTGCCTCCAGGGTGCTCTGGGTTTCTTGGGCTTCCATGGATTTGCCATGGAGAGCGCGACGCTCCCACACCAAAAATTAACGGACGTCCTGGGGTTTCAGGGTTGAGTTTCTTGTGGGAGGTTTCTTGTGGACGGGCCTCGGCTGTATTTGTTGGGAGTCCCGAAACGGTGCGGTGACAGACCGTGCGGTGACCTTGAAATCCCCCAAGACCTCACCGCACGGTCCTTCAACTCAACTCACGGTCTTGGGACCGCAGAGGCCCCTGTCGCCCGAGACGTCCTCGTAGAACGACCCGAGTCCCAAGACCGTGCGGTGACCCCGAATCCCCACCGACTCACCACACGGTGTGGTCAGCACCCGGGGATTTTTCGCGGGGGGCCTGGGCTCTCGCGAACTTTTCGCGGGAGGCTCGGACCCTTGCGCATCTTCCGCAAAAGGCTCGGAGGAGGAGAAGGAGGAGGAGGAAGAGGAGGAGGAGGAGGAGGACGAGGAGGAGGAGGAGGAGGAGGGGGAGGAGGAAGCGGAGGAGGAGGAGGAAGGTTTCCGACAGGACTGACTACAGGGCAAAAACCACGCGCCGCGCCTAGAGCGGGCGCGCAGCTGCCGAGCGAAGCCTGCGAAACCGATACAAAGAGAACTCGTGCTCTCAGGAGCGGCCTCGCTTCCGACGGCTGGGCGAGCGAAACATACATGTAGGGGAACGAATAATGGCATAAACATAAAAACTCGGTGGTCCGCGCGGAGTCCTCAGATCGGCTCTGGGGCCCCCTGGCGGCGCCTCCGGCGCCGCCCCTGGCGCGTTCCGCGCGCCAGGGAGGGGGTCCAGCGCGGATCCAAGAAATCCGCGTAGACCTCCGAGTTGTTTGAAGGGGCCCCAGGACACACAAACAAATACACACAAACAAAAATATCCCCCATATTTTCCTATAGTTTCTGGGTTTTTGTCTTCACCCCCACTTCCCCTATTTTCCCATATTTTCTTGGGAATCGACGATTTATTGTGTCTGTGTGTTTTTGTCCCCTCCTGATTGTTATGCTTATGCCACTTCTCGTTCCGCGAACTTTTCGGAAACGTGTGTGCGCGGCGGTGAAGCAAGACCGGCATGCCGACACGCTTCGCTCGCGAGGCGCGCCGCGCCCCGCTCCCGCCACGCAGCTGGCGACGCCGACGACAAAGGCCTCCAGGACCGCGCAGGCTTTTTGCATGCTTTGCGTGTGGGCTTATCTTTATGGGTCCGATGGAGCACCCAGACGGGGGTCTGTCGGCTGGCTAGGTTGCCACACAGGAATGCGCACGCACATGCGCTGGCAGAAACCACCAGGGCATGAGATGGATAGCGGCATGGACGAGCAGGGAGGGAGGAATGCAGAAGGGAGAATGGGGAATGAACCAGGGCAACGGATCAGAAATATGAGTAGGGATGACGGGAAGGGGGGCACAGAACAGGAGGATGATGATGGGAAGAGGATGGGGATGCCGAGGAGGGGGACCAGAAGATGAGAGGGAAGACAAGGACAGGAGGAATGACAAGGAGGGAGGGGACGAGGAGGAGGGGAGCGACAGAGCAAGGGAGGAGGAGGAGGAGGCAGCGGAGGAGGATGGACCGTGATGCGCAGGTCGAGGAGGGGGAGGAGAATGGGGACGACGAGGACCCCCCCGACCCCCCACCATGCCACACAAATGCACGCAGCCATCCCGAACCAAACGCAGCCTCGCTCCCCCCTCCCCCCATCACCGGGAGGAGGGCGAGGAGCAGGGACGGAAGCGAAGGGAGGGGAGCGAAGGGAGGGGAGGGGAGGGCGAGGAGCAGGGACGGAAGCGAAGGGAGGAGGGCGAGGAGCAGGGACGGAAGCGAAGGGAGGGGAGGGGAGGGAGGCGGGCGCAGGGAGAGCCCCGGGGCCCGTTGATGGCTTTCTAAGGGGGGCCCCAGCGATCCCACGACGAAGACGAAGACAACGAGCATCCCTCTCCTGTTCTCCTCCTCTTGCCTCCTCTTGCCTCCTCATCCCCTCACCTCCCTGAAGAGGATACCATCCATCGTCGCCCCTCTGGTACACTTGTCGTCTGCATCCTCCTCATCCTCCTCCTCTCCTCCCTGTGCCTTCTCCTTCGTCTGTCTCCACAGTCATCCCTGCTGCTGCCTCTCCTCATCCCCCATCCTCTGCCTCCTCTCCCCCCTCGTTTCCTCTTCGTATCGTCCCACCTTCTTCTGGAGGGGTAGCAGCAGCAGTCAGGAAGGCTAGCAAGAGCAGGACTGGGGGAGACTGGGAGGAGGAGGAGGAAGAGGAGGAGAGGAAGGAGTATGAACAGTAGGCGGAGCAGGGTAGAGGGAAGTGCGGGAGCATGCCCATCATCGCGAGGCGGCCAATCGGGCGCCACCAGGGGCAGCACGCCTGTTCGGGGAGGGCCCGTAGCGCGAAGGCGAGTTGGATGAGACAGGGAAGCAGGATGGAGGAGGGAGGATGGATCGCTTGTGTTGGAGAGGGAGGCAGGAGGAAGAAGCGGGCGGCGGGATGAAGGACGAGGAGGGAGGCTTCGGATGAGGTAGGCGGGTTGGGGAGGCGGGGTGGTGAACTTGTCTGTTTGACCTGGTACTCTGACGAATACTACGCGAAGGGGTGCGTGTTCTGGTGCCGTTGCGGAAGGAGAGCGAATGAAGAGGGTGTCTAGGCGATGAAAAGGAACTCTCATGTATTCTTATGTATTCTGGGGGGCTATACGGGAGGGGGAGGCGGGATAGAGGGAACGGAGGAAGGAAAGCTTGGGCATACTATCAGCCGGTCTAAAGCTATGCGGGGGCTGAACTTCTGGAAGCGAAGAAAGCCAGGACGACGAAGACGACGGACTGCGGCGACGTCGACTACAATGACGAGGGCGAGGATGAGGACGATGGCGAGAAGGATTATGAGGAAGTGCAAGACAACGAACAATAAGGAGCAGGGGGGTGACGAACGCTTGAAACGCATCCATCCACGTTTACGTTGCAGTCCCCCCTTGACGCGCCGTTGAGCAGCAGCAGGTCCCGAGCTGCCCGGTATACCCATCTGCTGACGATGGCAACCACGCAGTCGGGGTCGGTGGTCGCCAACAAGGCGCAGATGCTTGCGAGACAATTCGCCAGGAAGTGCTCCTCCTCCGTGACACAGACGGTGGCATATGCCAGGGCCTGCCCGCCATGGCATCTGCCTCCACGAAGCAGCCCCCAAGGGTCCACCGAGAGGCCTCCCATCGCGGCGTAGGCCAGCGACGCTTGCGGGGTGGCCCAGGACACAGACAGGCAACCTGCTGTTAGGTCGGGCCTGTCCCCCTACAGGGGGAAGTATTCAAAACATGCTCCAAAAATGTTCAAAGATGGTAATTATTTAAAAATCGTCCCCAGACTATGTGTCTACTATGTTTGAACATTCCTCCTGTAGAGGGACGGGCCCGACTTACACCTACTGTCGATAGCCGTTCACCGCGCACATTGAGGATCTCACTCGGCTCATGGCGGCGAGCTGGTTCCCAGCCGCTTGGGCCCAAACTGCTACGACACAGGATCAGGATGATGCGGGCTTGGTCATAAGCGATACGATGACAAGAAGCATGCATAACAAGGGGCAGCAGCGGGCGGGCGACTAGGATGATGACTTCCATGCAACCGAATGGCTGCTGGGCAAGCAGAGGGAACAGACGGACAGGGGGAGGAGGAAAACTGATAACAACGAGGGGGCGAACTGGCACAACAGCCGCACGAACGACATGATGCTTCTCCTTGGCCGCAACGTTGCTCCTCCACATGTTCCCCCTCCTCTCTCTCCTCCTCCGCCTGCCCCTCCCCATCTCCCTCCTCCTCCTCCTCCTCCTCCTCCTCCTCCTCCTCCTCCTCCTCCTCCTCCTCCTCCTCCTCCTCCTCCTCCTCCCTCCTCCTCCTCCTCCCTCCTCCTCCCTCCTCCTCCTCCTCTCCCCTCCTCCTCCTCCTCCTCCCTCCTCCTCCTCCTCCTCCTCCTCCCTCCTCCTCCTCCTCCTCCTCCTCCTCCTCCTCCTCCTCCTCCTCCTCCTCCTCCTCCTCCTCCTCCTCCTCCTCCTCCTCCTCCTCCTCCTCCTCCTCCTCCTCCTCCTCCTCCTCCTCCTCCTCCTCCTCCTCCTCCTCCTCCTCCCCTCCTCCTCCTCCTCCTCCTCCTCCTCCTCCTCCTCCTCCTCCTCCTCTCCTCCTCCTCCTCCTCTCCTCCTCCTCCTCCTCCTCCTACCTCCTCCTCCTCCTCCTCCTCCTCCTCCTCCTCCTCCTCCTCCTCCCCCTCCCTCCTCCTCCTCGTCCTCCTCCTCCTCCTCCTCCTCCTCCTCCTCCTCCAGCCGTTTGGGCTCCCGCTGCCCGTGGCACCGAGATAGGTGCTGCGGGCGCCCAGACCCCCGGCAGTCTCCACGCGATCTCCGGCCGGGCCCCGAAATTCCCATGAAAGGGGCCCAAGGACACACAAATAAATACACACAAACTCCTCTCCTCCTCCTCCTCCTCCTCCTCCCCTCCTCCTCCTCCTCCTCCTCCTCTTTCACCTCCTCCTCCTCCTCCTCCTCCTCTTTCACCTCCTCCTCCTCCTCCTCCTCCTCCTCCTCCTCCATGAAAGGGGCCCAAGGACACACAAATAAATGCACGCAAACAACTCACGAGGCAGGCTCCACGGCAAGCGAAGGAGGCATGTTCCTGCGGCCGCTCTCGAAGAAGCAGCGCTTCCCGTCTCTGCGCGGCCTCGGAGCCCCGTCCCCTGGCTGGCACTCGGGATGTTTTGTCTTTCCCTTAAATGTTTTCCCTCCTCTCGTCCCCAAGAGCCCGAGCACCAACAAAATTACTCCAACGGATGGACCCCACATGAAAACCAAATTTTGTATGGAATATGTACACTATCAGAATGATGCTGCTCCTGCTGACGCTGCTGCTGCTGCTCCTCCTCCTCCGCCTTGAGCAGCGTCCATTTCAACCGCGTCCTCCTGACGGCACCGTGGTTGAAATCCCCGCGTCCTCCTCCTCCTCTTTCTCATCGTCCTCCTCCTCCTCCTCCTCCTCCTCCTCCACCTCCTTCTCCGAAACCTCCTCCTCGTCCTCCTCCTCCTCCGCGCGAGCGGGCTCGCATGGAATGCCCCTGAGGGTCATTCCGTGCGAGCGGGCTCGCTGATGCCGATAGCGGTTGGAATTCCAACTCTTAGGTGGGACCCCCTAGGGCCCACAGGGGAGGTCCCTTCCGCGCGAGCGGGCTCTCATGGAATGCCCCTGAGGGTCATTCCGTGCGAGCGGGCTCGCTGATGCCGATAGCCGTTGGAATTCCAACTCTTAGGTAGGACCCCCTAGGGACCACAGGGGAAGTCCCTTCCGCGCGAGCGGGCTCGCATGGAATGCCCCTGAAGGTCATTCCGTGCGAGCGGGCTCGCTGCTGCCGATAGCCGTTGGAATTCCAACTTTTACGTGGGACCCCCTAGGGGCCACAGGGGAAGTCCCTTCCGCGCGAGCGGGCTCGCATGGAATGCCCCTGAAGGTCATTCCGTGCGAGCGGGCTCGCTGCTGCCGATAGCCGTTGGAATTCCAACTTTTAGGTGGGACCCCCTAGGGGCCACAGGGGAAGTCGCTTCCGTGCGAGCGGGCTCGCATGTAATGCCCCTGAGGGTCATTCCGTGCGAGCGGGCTCGCTGCTGCCGATAGCCGTTGGAATTCCAACTTTTAGGTGGGACCCCCTATGGGCCACAGGGGAAGTCGCTTCAGCGCGAGCGGGCTCGCATGGAATGCCCCTGAGTGTCATTCCGTGCGAGCGGGCTCGCCGATCCCGATAGACGTCATCATCATCATCATCATCATCATCATCATCATCATCATCATCATCATCATCATCATCATCATCATCATCATCATCATCATCATCATCATCATCATCATCAACACATCATCACCAGCATCAGCATCATCATCATCAGCATCATCATCATGAGCAGCAGCAGCATCATCAGCATCATCACCAGCACCATCATTATCAGCAGCATCATCGGCAGCATCATGATCATCAGCATCATCATCATCATCAGCATCATCATCATCATCAGCAGCAGCATCATCAGCACCAGCACCGTCAGCATAATCAGCACCATCAGCATCATCAATATCGTCATCATCATCAGCGTCATCATCAGCATCATCAACATCAACATCATCAGCATCAGTATCAGCAGCAGCATCATCAGCATGATCATCGTCAGCATCATCAGAATCAGCATCAACAACAACAACATCATCATCATCATCATCATCATCATCATCATCATCATCATCATCATCCTATTCCTCCTCCGCCTCCGCCTCCTCCTCCTCCTCCTTTCGTTTTCCTCGTAGCATTCCTCCTCCGATTCCTCGTACTCCTCCTCCTCCTCTTCCCTCCTCCTCCTCTTCCCTCCTCGTTGTCCCTCCTCCCTCCCTCCTCCCTCCGCGCTCCCCCGAAGGCTCCTCCTGTGCCGCGAGGTGCTCCAGCGGGGCGATGAGCAGCTCGCTGTGGCCACTGATGTGGTCGGAGAGCACAGAGTACTGCTTGGCCAAGCTGCGCGGGGCCAGCGCGGAGGAAGAGGAGGAGGAGGAGGAGGAGGAGTACAGGGCAGTTTTTAATACATCGAAGTTTTTGTTTAAAAACATTGGATTCTAATACATGATTAATGTATGAATGCATTTATGCATGAACTCATCGTTGTCTTTAATACTAAATCCCTGCATGCTTAATACATGATCCGCACGCGGAGCATGTATAAAAAAACGGCACTGCAGGAGGAGGAGGAACAGGAGGACTGACCAGAAGCAGCCCAACATGCATCAACGATACTGCAGCACACCCTCCCGTTCCAAGCCTCCCACGCCTATGAGACCACAGTAGTCCTTTCCACGGCGGGGTCTCGCCATTCGGGCGAAACTTCGTGCTGTAAGATGTCCACTTTCCGTCCGTATGGCTATGAGAAATGCAAAGTGGCAGGGTTATACAATTCAAGGACGTGTCCAGCGCGAAGTCAATGGTTCAATAGATATGCCCTCCCCCTCTGTGAGCGTTGCACACGTTCCGAAACTTGAGGAATCCGAGAGCCCGGCAAGAAACTCGAGTCAACATGTCCTCTTATGCGCGCTCAACACTTGCCGTTTCCTAGGCTGCAACCACTACCTCCTGCGCGTCCTGCTTATCCTCACGGATGAGCTCGTAGTACCTGCGGGTCTCGGCCAGTAATCCGACGATCGCATCCAGCTTGTCCGTTGAGCACGCCGCCAAGGCAATCGTGAGTCGGCCTCGGCTCATGTCCACTGTTCTCGCCCACCTCGCGGCTACAATCCAAGCACCCACCTTCGGGCCGTGTAGATTTCTCCTTCACGGTGGCTTCCACACGGGCCTGACCATCTTGATCTCAGTCTCCTGACCTCCACGTCCACAATGCTGTCGGTGCCCCTGCCCCAAAAAATACCACCGGTCGCTCAACTCCGCTTCCGCTGACTTGACCACGGCATCCCAAGCCACCGTCAGACCCCCACCGTCCTGGGCATTCATAACTTCCAGAGCGCCTGCTTCCAGAGCTTCTCCTTCGGATATGGCGCAGCACCCACAAGCGCCACCGCTGGGAAACCCCATGGTTACGTAGGAACCCTCGCGTATACCTCGCGGTCCACCTTCAGCAACTGCACGTGGACAGGGTAGTGAGGGTGGAGAGCCGCGTGGGTCGCGACCCAGGTCTCGCCCATCCTGAAGTCCAAGTTGGGGGACGCGATCACGCAGTCCAGGCACGAACCCTCAGCCTTCTGCCAGCATGTGGGCTCATTCGGCACGATGGGGCTCCCCTGGACTGCTTCCAGACACGGGACCCTGCAACACCTCGATCTCCATGATCCAGTCCGCCATCGCAACCCAGTCCAGCCTACACGCATTGAGGACCCTCAAGTAGGTCATCAGCTCGTGGACTGTGTCAGCGTTCGGACGAGAAGGAGGAGGAGAAGGAGGAGGAGGAGGAGGAGTGAGGAGGAGGAAGAGGAGGAGGAGGAGGAGGAGGAGGAGCCCTCTGGGTGGCATGGTTGCGGCTAGTTAGAGCGATGCCCGGCACAAGTGGCTGCGGCTTTGGCCAGGGGCCAGGGGGGCAGCTCCTCCGGTGCGGTGACGCCTCGGCGGCGCCGCACATGATTCTGGCCTCCGCTCGGGGGGCAATCCCCCTGGTGCGGAGACGCCTCGGCGGTGCCAGGGGCCATCGCAGCCCACGCGCGGGGCAGTGAGCCCCGTTTGGGGGCCCCTTCGGGTCAAGGGCCAAGGGCGGCTAAGGCGGCAGAGCCCATGGGACGGTTCAGGCCCATGTCTGCGGGCCCAAGAACGCAACGTCCAATTTACGGGGGCTCCGTTAGACCAGGGGGGGCAGCGCCCCTGGGAAAGACTGCGTCTCGGCGGCGCCATGTGCTATCGCGAGCCCGCGCAACGAGGCGGTCCGCCTCGCTTTGGGGGCCCCGGCGGGCCGCGGGGGACAGCCCGCGCGACGCCCCGGCTACTCGCAGGACCCCAGGACGGGGGGCTCCTTCGGGCCCAGGCGACTGACGGGGCCCTGGGACACACACAAATAAATACACACAAATAACAGGATTTCCCTTATTTTCTAATATTTTCTGGATTTTGGTCTTCCCCCCCATTTCCCATATTTTCCATATATATATATATATATATATATATATATATATATTAGGGAATCGACGATTACTCCAGATTTCGTAATAAAAGGAAGGGGGGTCTCATTTCGGGGGGGGGGTCTCTTCCAGGCTATCTTGGAGGGCCTGGAGGATCTGGGGACGATGTTTTGGAGGGTTCTCCCACGGGGGAGGTCTGAAATGGCTTGTCTTGGAGGGTCCAGACCCCCTCCCTTTTATTACGAAATCTGGAGTAATTGTGTCTGTGTGTGTTTTTTTGTACTCCTGAGCGACACAGCCTGCACGACCCCTCCTGGCCCCTGAGGGCGGCGTCCCTGTGGCGGATACCGTTCGGGTCAGGCGGCGCTCGGGGGACGCATCCCCCGCATCGTCCCAGCGCCTCGGCGGCGCTGGGGGCCGCCGTGGGCCCGCGCGCGGAGCGGGGAGCTCCGTTCGGGGCGTCCTGCAGGGCCACGGGGGAGAGCCCGACCCCCCTCATCCCCGCGGGGCTGGCGCTCCCGGGGGCGAGCCCCCGTGCCGTCCAAGCGGGTGGTCTCGCTGGGACAGAGGGGGGCGGCGCCCCTGGCACGCAGGCGCCTCGGCGGCGCTGGGAGCCGTCGCGAGCCCGCGCGCGGGGCGGGGAGTCTTTTTCGGGGGGGGGATCTCTCCTAGGGCCAAGGGGACTAACCCGAACGACCCCCCCGATCCCCGCGGGGGGCCGGGCTCCCGGGACGCGCCCCCGCACCGTCGCGCAACTGCCCGGCGCCGAGTCGATGACCCACGACTGCAATGGCTCGCCTGGCTGGCAGTCGCCCACGATGATGTCCTCGGTCGCGATGAGCGCCAGGGGGTCGGGCTGCTCGCGCAGGAAGCGCCCTTTGGGCGTCGTTTTCACGCGAGGGCCCGTCACAATGAAGCGCACAGCTGCGGCCAGACAGGTTATTCAGCCGGCTGCCGTCGCTCTCGATCTCGCCGACCCAGCGGATCACTGTGGAGTCGGTCTCGGCCTCCCCGCTCGCGTCCTTTACGGCCGCGGCGTGGTCGGTCCAGCACCGAAATCGTGGTCGGCCGAAGTCCATACGCGCCTTGCGCCGCGTCCGTCCCCCGCTGCGCGCAGAGCCCTGCACTCCTCGGATGCAAGTTGGACTGGGTCAGGGCAATGGATCCGCCGTGAGCCGCCAGCACGTTCAGCGCCCGCCGGTCGGGCGCGAGCTGGCAAATGTCCCCGCCCCAACCGCGCGGCCAGAAGTCGGCGATGTGCTCGAAGGGGCGCTCGCCTGAGATGGCTCTGGCCATGTCCACCACGGGCAGCCGGATGGTCTCGCAGGTAAGGCGCTGGATCACCCTCTGCGCGACGACCTTCTGGCGCCATGGGCCACGTCGCATCCTGATTGAGCTGCTGCCCCAAGATCCCGAGCGGCTTCTGGACCTCCTTGGCGAAGCGCCCCAGATCCAACTGAACGCGCCCAAGATGCGGCGGAGCTGCGCAACGCCTTCGGGCACCGACCAGTTCTTGATCGTCTCCAGTCGCCGCTGGCTCGTCTCGCTGCCCTTGCGGCCGACCATCTCGCCGAGGGCCTTGATGGCGGGCTGGGCCAGCCTGTCGGGTGACTCGTCGGCGCCCATGTAGTAGCTGGCCGCGGCGCACACGTCGAAAAGGCCCCCATCAGCGCCAGCAGGTGCCCCCGCAGGGCCACGGCGGCCATGGGAAACCTCCGCCGCAGGCCCACGAGCCGCACCGCGTAGTGTTTTTAGTCAGCGGCCGCGGGCGAGCGCGCCGGCGGCGAGTCCAGTCAAAGCGGGGCACGCAGCGACGAATTAACCTAAAGCGACGGAGGGTGACCACACCTACAGCGGCTAACCGGGCCCTCACGCAGCAGCTCGGCACACCGCGTAGTACTCAAAGCGTCGGCACATCCAGCTCGACGATGGCCCGCAGCTCGCCCCCCTCCTGCCAGACGCGGGCCACCGATGGCTCCGCGCCGCGCGCCCCTTGGCTCTGCGCCACCTCGATCCGCAGCGCCGCCCCGATCGCGTCGCCGACATCGAGGCTCGCGTCCGGCTCGCTGCAGTTCGCCACCCGCATCAGCTGCTCGTCGCTGTCCAACAGGCCCCCAGCGCGGCTCGCGCCGCCGCCTCCCCGCCGGGCACCACGCCGCCGGGGAGGCCCTGGGACGAGCGCGCCGACCGAGCCGCGCTGCGGCCCGACGCCGCCCTCGCCGCCCAGGTGGAGGGAGAAGCCGAGGTCGCCGCCGCTCGGCGCGATGACCCCCCTCGCCGTCGTCCCCGAACTCTGCCGGGGCACCGGCCGCCCACCGTGCAAACCGGGCACCCAGAGCAGCCTGGCCCGGCCAGGTCACGGCTCCGACCGCGCAGCTCGCGCGCCGCGGGGGCCCGACCGGACGGGCGCCCCTGCGCCGACGTCGCGGCAGCCCGACGAAGGGGGCCCCCAGAGGGGGTACATTCATAAACGAAGAGGGCGGGCGCCGAGGGTGCTTAACTGCTGAATGGCACGCGAACGACGAAGAGCGATCTAGATGAAAATTACTGTTGCTGCTGTCGTTGTGTCTAGGTGTGTGCAGGTGTGTATGCGCATGTTCCAGGCCCAGGCCGCCGCTGCGCTGGGAGAGCAGCGCGTGGCAACAAACCCCAATTGAGATCACTGCATCCCTATGCACGGTGCAGCTGGCTGTGTCCGGCATGCCCTGGCACGCCTCCGAAAGCAGCGAACGAGCGAGCGACACTTTGTCCCGATCCCCCGGCGGCGGCTGGCGCTACCTGCCGGACCTGAGCACAGAAGAGCGGCGGCTGGCCATGTTCTCGAGGCGGCTCATGGCTCATGAAGGCCCTCGGGGCAGTCGGGCTGGTGGGGCAGATGTGGGGGGCAACCACATGATCTGGTCCTGCGTTCGTGCTCGACCTGTTCACGACGAGCTGCTCGACGGGCTGCGGCCGAGGCTCCTCGTCTGTTGGTGCCACGGTGCTGACGCTTGCGCTTGGCAGGTTCGGCAGGGTCGGCAGCCGGCTGCTCCGACCTCACCTCCACCCTGGGCTCGGTGTTGGCTCGCCCTGGTGCAGGTAAACATGCTGAGCACGAGCGCGGTGATAGCGCTCTGGCCGTCACGTGGCAACCGGGCTGGTGATCCTGCCACGGAGGGCAGCCGCACGTGCGGGTCCTGCGCTCGTGCTCCACCTCAGCGCGCCTCCTCTCACGTCGTTCAGTGGCCTCTGCAGAATAGTGTGAATTGCCTCGGCGCGTCTTCTTCCTGGCTCTCTCCTCCAGGGGGCCCTGCAGTGTTGGTTCGTCGTCACCTTCCGTCATGAACACATACGCGTAGTCCTCACACCGGTCTGCAGGGGTCAGGCTGACATGCAACGCCACTGGGGGCTGCTCTCTCACGGGCACCACCTCTGGAGGGCGCGCGCTTGCATGCATCTCTGAGCCCCCCAAATACGCGTGGCCGTGGTCGCCGACATCGTCGACGATGTTCTCATCACGCGCGGTCGCGTCGTCGTCGCCCTCCTCCTCCTCCTCCGACCCTTCGCCGAGGCCGGGCTCATCCAGGAGCTGGAAAACGCGACCGCCTCCCTCGTCCAGGATGACCTGCACCTCGCCGCCGATGCGCCGCTCCACCCAGTGCTCCAGGACAACAGCTCGCATCAGGGCTGCCTCCGCCGCGAGTGCCACGCGGGGATCGGCCGCCGCGTGCGGCACCGGCAGCGGCCCCCGCCGCGCCAGGAGCCCCCTCAGAGCGGATCGAAGGCCTTCCTCCGCCTGCTCGATGGTTCAAAGATGGGGATCGGAGGGACGAGGCCCGAAGGACGGGAGGGGGCCCCAAACAATGTGAATTCGATCTGGGATCTAGAAAAAGAAGAAGAAGATGAAGAAGAAGAAGAAGAAGAAACATAACAACAAAATTATCCTGGCGAAGGACCCAACCATATGCAGTTGTGAATACCGCAATTGTGAATACCATCTTCGCCCGCGCTCCCTATGTGGCCACGGCTTCCCGCCGGAGCCCGACATGCTCAGGGACACGTTCGTGGCCGTCTTCGCGGGCGCCGACGACGACAAGGACGGCGTCCCTCTCACCGAGGAGCAGAAGCAGGAAAGGGCCTTGAGAGCCATGAGGGAGGAGGTGGCGTTGCACGTCGACAAGGCGGAGTACGACGCCCAGGCGCGGTTGTTGAAGCAGCACAACTATGGGGCCACGATCCTCGTGAGGGGTGTGCCGAAATGGCCCGAGGCCGCCATGCGAACCCTGCCACTGGCGCCTTCGGTGGAGCTCCCTATGGGGCCACGATCCTCGTGAGGGGTGTGCCGAAATGGCCCGAGGCCGCCATGCGAACCCTGCCACTGGCGCCTTCGGTGGAGCTCCCTATGGGGCCACGATCCTCGTGAGGGGTGTGCCGAAATGGCCCGAGGCCGCCATGCGAACCCTGCCACTGGCGCCTTCGGTGGAGCTCCCTATGGGGCCACGATCCTCGTGAGGGGTGTGCCGAAATGGCCCGAGGCCGCCATGCGACCCTGCCACTGGCGCCTTCAGTGGAGCTCCCTATGGGGACGATCCTGTGCCGAATGGCCCGAGGCCGCCATGCGAACCCTGCCATTCCCGGCGGAGCATCCCAACCCTGCCACTGGCGATCCTCGTGAGGGGTGTGCCGTGGCCACTGGGCCTTCGGTGGAGCTCCCTATGGGGCCACGATCCTCGTGAGGGGTGTGCCGAAATGGCCCGAGGCCGCCATGCGAACCCTGCCACTGGCGCCTTCGGTGGAGCTCCCTATGGGGCCACGATCCTCGTGAGGGGTGTGCCGAAATGGCCCGAGGCCGCCATGCGAACCCTGCCACTGGCGCCTTCGGTGGAGCTCCCTATGGGTCACGATCGTCGTGAGGGGTGTGCCGAAATGGCCCGAGGCCGCCATGCGAACCCTGCCACTGGCGCCTTCGGTGGAGCTCCCTATGGGGCCACGATCCTCGTGAGGGGTGTGCCGAAATGGCCCGAGGCCGCCATGCGAACCCTGCCACTGGCGCCTTCGGTGGAGCTCCCTATGGGGCCACGATCCTCGTGAGGGGTGTGCCGAAATGGCCCGAGGCCGCCATGCGAACCCTGCCACTGGGGCCTTCGGTGGAGCTCCCTATGGGGCTACGAAACGCTGTGCTGGGTGGGTGAAACGCAAGGAGGAGGGGGAGGAGGAGAGGAGGAGAGGAGACGCGGGCCACCGTCTTTTCAATACGAGGACCCAACACCACAGGATGGTTGGGAACAAAACGCCATAAGCATAAATTGTTGGCGCTTCGCGTGGATTTCTTGGAACTGCGCCGGGCCCCCCTCCCTGGCGCGCGGAGTGCGCCAGGGGCGGCGCCAGAGGCGCTGCTGGGGGGGGCTCCGCTCGGATCCAAGAAATCCGCGCGGAGCGCCACAATTTTATGTTTATGGCGAGTTTCTTCTTCTTCTTCGAACATCCCGTCCTACCCTGAAGGCCCCCTCTCTCGGGGCTCCATCTCTGAACCGCCCGGCCTGCGTGAAAGAGTCCCGAGGCAGCTGGCCGAAGAACGCCTCTCGGCTACACGCAAGGGTGACCCCAGGCTTAGGTCGGGCATGTCCCCCTACAGGGGGTTTCTTGACGAACCAGAAAGAATACCCAAAAAATTCTCCACAATGGTCAAAAATAGTTTAAACATCGTCCCCGGATAATCGTTTGACTAGTCTTGAATGTTCCTCCTGCAGGGGGGCAGGCCCGACTTCACCCTGGGCGAGAGTGCCACTCTGGTGCGCGGACGGAGGGGGCGCAAAGCTGCCAAGTCCAAGCGCGCAGGCAGCCCCTGACGCAGCAGACTCGTGGACCGGGGGGGCCCCGATGAGCCTCGGGGACCTCCTGACCCGGGTCAAGCCAGACCTGGGTCAGTCAGGCCTTGCAGAATGCTGCAAGATCCTGCAAGATCCTGCGCCCAAACCCGGGTCAACGCGAAGGATCCTGCAAGATCCTGCACCCAAGCCTGGGCCAATGCGACCCTGGCCCTGCAGGATCCTGCAAGATCGGGCGCTCTGGCTGACCCCCGTCTGCACTGACCCCGTCTCAAGGCTCCCGAGAGCCCGCACCAGAGGTCACTCCGGCGACAGGTCACTCTGACGTGTACAGTCGAGCCTCGGCCGCGGTTGCGCTGCCGCTGCCCCCCCGGGCTCTGGGCAGGGCCTTCGGCACCGGCCTGGCCAGAAGCTGCGGCTCTGCGGGCCTCAGGGCTTCGGTGCCCTGGCCGCCCGCGGCAGGGCCCCCTCTTAGAGGCCTCCTAGATTGGGTCCGAGCAGGTGGGGTCGGCGGATCGCGCCGCATCGACGATACATCGGCGATGCACCGGCGATGCATCGGCGACGGCGGCGATGCATCCGCGACGTCGGCGTGGAGGCACTTTGGCCCCACCTCGAGCCGCGTCGCCGATGCATCGCGGAGGCATCGGCGATGCGGCGCGATCCGCTGGCCCCACCTTGGGCGCCCGAGTCATCCGGGGTAACTCGGGTCCGGGGTAACTCGGGCTTGGATTCCCGCAAAAGGAACCCGAGTTAGCCCTGACCCGAGTTACCCCTGATGATGTGGGGCTCTGGACGCCCGAATCATCCGGGGTAACTCGGGTCCGGGCTAAGTCGGGCTCGGATCCCCGAAAAACGAGCCCGAGTTAGCTCTGACCCGAGTTGCCCCTGATGACTCGGGGCTCTGACCACCTGCTCCGACCCCATCCAAGAGGCCCATATAGGCCTCTGCGCTCTGCAGGGGCCCCGCCGGCCGCCAGCGTGACCCGGCCGCCCCCGGCCGTGGCCCGGAGCGCGTGCCCGGGCATGCGGCGGTCCACCCACGCCTGCAGCGGCACGGCGCCCGCTCCGGGCAGCAGCCTCTCCGCCACCGCCGCGGCCTGGAGCAGGGCGCCCCGGGCCTGGAGCAGGAGGTCCTTCGGATTCGCAAGCCGTGGGAGCCTGGCGTGCCCTCTCGATGCCGTCTTGATGGCGTCGACTGGCGTCGAGTCGAGGAGGTATAGCGCCGATCCAGATTCGACTTGGCGTCGATGAGCGCCGACTTCGCGCCGATCAGCGTCGATGTAGCGTCGTTTCGCGTCGAGCAGCGCCGATTCGCAAGAGCCGACAAGGTGGCATGGGAGGCTCCCAGGACTTGCCGCAGAAAGAGGCTCCCGGAGCTCGAGCTCCGACGCCGTCAGCCGCGAGGGGGGCAGCCCGGCGAAGAAGGCCTCCGCCATGGCCCCCGCTCCCAGGGCCTCTACACGGCCGGCGGCGGCCCCTGCTCCTGCAGCGGCGCCGCTGGGGGCCCGCGCGCGCGCCGCGCCCCCTGGAGAGCCCGGAGTGGGCCATACTGAAGGGGCCCTGGGACATACCAATAAAGACACACACACACACACACACATCACGGGATTTCCCATATTTTCCCATATTTTCTGGGCTTTTGTCTTCCCCCCCACTTCCCATATTTTCCCATATTTTCCTGGGGATCGACGATGGATTGTGTCTGTGTGTTTCTTTCCCTCCTGATATACGGAAGGCGGCAGGGGCTTGTCCGAGCTCCTGGCCCGCTTGGAACTCCCCGAGCCCCCGAGCGTGCAGGAGCAGCCCACCGCACGAGCTCCGTGCGGAGGGCGGGGTCGAGAGGTGCACCCGGCATCCCCTCCCGACGGAGTCTGGCCCGAGCGTGCAGGAACAGCCCACCGCACGAGCTCCGTGCGAGGGACGGGGTCGAGAAATGCACCCATCGACCCTCGACCCTCGATCGATCCTCGACCCTCGATCGATCCTCGACCCTCGATCGATCCCCGACCCGCGATCGATCCCCGACCCTCGATCGATCCCCGACCCTCGATCGATCCCCGACCCTCGATCGATCCCCGACCCTCGATCGATCCTCGACCCTCGATCGATCCCCGACCCTCGATCGATCCTCGACCCTCGATCGATCCTCGACCCTCGATCGATCCTCGACCCTCGATCGATCCTCGGCTCTCGATCCTCGAAGCCCGACCGATCGACAGCATCCCCTCCCGACGAAGCTTGGCGCCCGAGTCCGCTCGGCCACCGCGGGGGGGGGCACGGGACTGTGGGGCACAGTCGGCTGCCGAGCGGGGCAGCCTCGCAACGCGCGCCCCGGGCAGGGGGTTCCGGCGCCGAGCCGAGGGATCCGAGCGGTGAACCCGCCAAACTGTGAGATGCTAATGTGTACAGTCGAGGCGTCGACCCAAGGAACCCTAAATAAGGAACGAGGCCCCTACTTTTTCCATCAGTTGATCGGCATAATCAGCATCGTCATCAGCATCAGCATCAGCATCAGCATGAGCATCAGCATTAGCATCAGCATCAGCATCAGCATCAGCATCAGCATCGTCATCATCATCATCATCATCATCATCATCATCATCATCATCATCATCATCATCATCATCATCATCACATCATCATCATCACCATCACATCCTCATCATCACCACCACATCATCATCATCACCACCACACCACCACCACCACCACCATCATCATCATCATCATCATCATCATCATCATCATCATCATCATCATCATCATCATCATCATCATCATCATCATCATCATCATCATCATCATCATCATCATCATCATCATCATCATCATCATCATCATCATCATCATCATCATCATCATCATCCCGAGAGCCCAGGATCGGCGGCACTGGCCGGAGGCCATGGCAATAAGGAGCGAGGCCCCGTCTTTCTCCAGAAGTCGAACTTCGATTCTCCCATCGAACACCTGAGGGAAACCTGAGGCAAGCTGTGGAACAGTTGAGGAACGCGGAGCCCCTCCCCAGCGAAAAGGGTTCCTTCTTCAGCGCCCCGGCTGTATTTGGTGTGTCCTTCGATTCGTGCCGTGACGACTTGTGCGTCGGTTCCTGACATCGCGCGGATCACTCAACCTCGAGCGGTCGCGATGTCCCAACGGCGTGGACCGTTCGGTGTCGGCCGATCTCGGGCCACTGGCGGCCTTCAACCTTGAGCGCGCGCGCTGGTGCCGCCGCCGAGTCGACACGGCACGAACCCACTGTATCCTCACGGGCTTAGATGTGTTGCCGATGTGGCCATGATTGAATACTTGTGTGCGCGCATGCATCTCGGTTTCGGATCGTTCTAGTTCGCTGTTACCCCATCGTCCGGCATTCTCCAGGCCGTCTCTGCTTAGCAGACGATCAAGATCGACTTCGCTAGGGTCTCCATACCACCTTCGTTTCCGCACAAGGTGGCGAATGCATGCTGAACGTATCCCGCCCTCGCATCTTGCGAGCATTGGTGAATCACCGACTGCATCCCATCGCCGCGCCGACGGACAAAAAAGAGGGCGTGCCAGCCACTCGCATGCCCAGCCTGCTATGCTTTGCGATGGCTTGTTCTTGTCCCTCGTCGCTCTCGGGTCGGAGTAAATGGGGTCGGAGGATCGCGCCGCATCGCCGACACATCGGCGATGCACCAGCGATGCATCGTCGACGTCGGCGATGCACTGGCGACGCCGACGTGAAGCACATCGGGCTGCACATCGAGCCGCAGCGGCGAAGCATCGGCGAGGCGGCGCGGACCCTCCGGCCCCATCTGCTCCAACCCCGTCTGGGAGGCCTAGATCTCGCGCCCGCCTTGCTGCCGAGGCTCGCCCGGGGAGGACCAACACACGAAAAGCGCCCCCCGCCCCCCACACATGAGGAACTCTAGACCCGTGCGGCCGTCCAACGACGCGCGAACTGGGAGCGGAAGCTGCTCGACGGTCAGCCAACGACAGCGCCGCGACACTCCATGCGAACGGCGCGCTGCTGCCATGTCCTTGTGCGGCACGGCCTCGGCCAGAACACGGCCGACACTCGTCGTCGGCGGCGCCGGCGGACGCCCCACCGGGCGACCGCAGAGAGCCGGCGGGCCGCCCGCCGCGCACCGGGCGCAGCACCGGGGGAGCGGGCGGAGCGAGGCAGAGAGCGGCGGCCGCGGAGGCGGAGGGGGGAGGCGAGGCCCCGCCGAAGGCTGAGCACGAGGCGCTCGCAGCCCGAGGCTGTTCGGGCGTTCGCTGATGGCGGGGCGATAGATGGGGGGGGAGTGGGAAAGGTGCACCTTTCGTGCACCTTTCGTACCCCTTCGGGGCCCATAGGGGGCTCGTTCAGGGCCCTCTTTCGAGCAACCCTCGACGCCCCCCCCCCCCCCTCTATTTATCGCCCCCCACTGCCGGACGCCCGAGATGTCCCGCTGCGCGCCCTGTCTGGCCGACGGCCGCGGAGGAGGAAAAAACCAGGCGAGCACTCCACCTGCGTGGTGGTGCCTTTGCGGTCAGGAGCTCGGGTTCGGCGTGCCGCGACGGCGGCCTCGAGGAAGCGCTGTGCCCTGCGAGCGGAGGGCGTGTCGCTCCACTCCTCGGGGCGGGAGGCTGGGAAGGCTCGGGACGTTGACGCCTGGGGTCGGGGAAGTGGATAGCGTGTCGCGCCGAGGCGCAGTGGGCCAGAACTGGCAGCGGCACGACGCGCTATCCAAAAGTTCCCGACAGTAGTATGCTCCGCCTTCTGCTCCTGCATCACCAGCAGGAGTGCCGCCGCCTAGGCGCGGCGCAGGGATCTCGCCCGGAAGCTGTGAATCGATGTCTGATCGACCTGCCGTCTTGACTTATGCATGGCGATTGGGTGGGGCAGACCAGGGCCCTGCAGATGGGGCCCCGTTTGCGACAAGCAGCCCACAGACTCAAGCCAGGACGGCCATTCCGCTCGAAGACTGGAAGCCTCGCCTCTCGAGGCTAACACATTCCGATCCCAAACAGAAGCAGTTTCGTGCAAGTTCTGACTGAGGATACATGAACCTCAATCCAGGAGAAGGGAGGAAGAGAGGGAGAAGGAAGAGGAGGAGGACGAGGAGGATGAGAAGGAGGAGGAGGGAAAACAGCAGCAAGGGCGAGAACGGGATCATCAGGACAAGCGGGCGGAACAGGAGTTGGATCATGAGGGGGCGGAGGAAGGACACATGGTTGTACGAGGTTTGAGGGGCAGCAGAAAGAATATCACTCGCGTGTCATGGTGGGGCGAACGGCCCCAATGAAACGGTCGACGGCACGAACATCATCGAGATGTTAGATACGGGGCTTCTCACATAGCAAACATGCATACAGAGAGCGGTGGCAATCACTCTTCGAGCTGTTCGGCAGTTGCAATGCGTATTGCTATGCTCTGGTAAGTTTGCGATGTTCCTTGTGACAGCTTGTCTGTGAGAGAAGGCTGCTGCGAACAGCTGGGGAATGTCGTAGAGACGTGGAGCCAAGAGGGAGGGAGGATGGGGAAGGGGGAAGGCGGCTGGATGGGGAATGAGAAGGGGGACGACAGTTTGGATGGATGGGACATGAGTGTCGCAATAACTTGAGAGGGGAACACGGAGTCGAGAAAAGGGAACCTGAAAAGGGAACATGCCGAGAGAGGAGAGCAATGCGACAGAGATGCACCACGGGGTGGGGCCCCCCTGCGCACGCGGCACGGCCTGAAGAGGAACTCCTCGTTGTTGCACAGCGGCTCCTCCTTCACAGCCTGGGGCCCCCAGGGGGGCATCCTCCCCTGAGGCCTTGATGGGGAAGGTGGAGAGGCACAAGGAGGAGGAGGAGGACGACGACGGCGAGGACGAAAGACGATGCTGATGTTTGTGGAGATGGTGCTGGCGGAAAGGGCGTGGAAGCAAAAATGGGGTGCTTCGAGGATCTTCTGACCCGGGTCAACCCAGACCCAGGCCAATCAGGCCTTGCAGAATCCTGCAAGATCCTGCGCCCAGACCCGGGTCAACGCGAAGGATCCTGCAGGATCCTGCAGGATCCTGCAAGATCGGGCGCTCTGGCTGTCCCCCGTTTGCACTGACCCCCGTCTCAAGGCTCCCGAGGAGGAGGAGGAGGAGGAGGGAGGAGGAGGAGGAGGAGGAGGAGGAGGAGGAGGAGGAGGAGGGGGAGGAGGAGGGAGGAGGGGGAGGAGGAGGGGGAGGAGGAGGGGGGGCGGAGGAGGGGGGGAGGAGGGAAGGAGGGAGAGGAGGAGGAGGAGGAGGAGGAGAGGAGGAGGAGGAGAGGAGGAGGGGTGGAGAGGAGGAGGAGGAGGAGGAGGAGGAGGAGGAGGAGGAGGGGGAGGGGGAAGGAGGAGGGAGGAGGAGGAAAATTCTTTGAAGATTTCGGCGCCTTCGCAGTTCTTCCGAAGAGACGCGCGATGGCAGGAGGCTGGCATGACGCGTCTGTCTGGAAGTGCACGCAT